ATAAGTACCTACTTTTGTTAAGCTAGGTGGAGTTGGGTTTCTGATATTTACAATAAAATTTGTCAGTGTTAAAATTCTGGACTTTATCCAGTCGGTGGGAAAGGATCTGACCCCCTTGCCTAGTGGGAAAGGATGGACAGAGCCAAGGGACAGGGCACAAGGGGCATGTGGGTACTGGGGACAGAGCCCTTTGTTGGAAACCAAGAAGCCTGAGATTCCGGGTCATTTTGAGGAAGGGAGTCAACATTAGGTTGTTAATCCCAGACTCTGGGTGAACTACAAGTACGAAGGTCTGGAGCCAAATAGGAGAGAAATGCAGGTGCACACCTGATTTCTGGATGTAGAGAACGGTGTCCTAGGGGCTTAGCCTTCCACTATTATGGCCTCTAGGGGGCGCTCCTCCCTCCTAACAGTTCTGGCCCAAGAGTTTCTCCCTTATCTGAGAAAAGCTGAAACAATAAAATATACTTTACTGAAGGTGTGGGTGTACGAAGAGAGAGAAAGATAAGGAGGCCTGTGAGTCTGGAGAAGATGTCCAGGAGAGGCCTTACATCTGGGGCTGGCTGGGTGCCCCCCCTTATCCAGTGGCACAGGGGGTATCCAGGGAGTTCCTCTTCTCAGTCCTTCATCCGTGGCTGGGCTCTTCCTATGTTTTTCTTTTCTTTTCTTTATTTTTCTTTTCTTTCTTAAAGATTTTATTTATTTGTTTGAGAGAGAGAGAGAGCACAAGAATGAGCATGAGCAGGGAGAGGGAGAGGGAGAAGCAGACTCCCCGCTGAGCAGGGAGCCCCACGCGGAGCTGGATCCCAGGACCCTGAGACCATGAGCCGAAGGCAGATGCATAATCGACTGAGCCGCCCAGGCGCCCCTCTTTCTATGTTTTCATCCCTTCTGGAGCTGGCATAGTGTGGGACATAGCTTTTGACCAAACAATTCAACCTTATGGAGTCCATCCTACAGAAAAAAATATATTCAAGGATATTCAGTGCAGCTCTGTTTGTGACACTATAACAGCTCTGCGTGTGTGTGTGTGTGTGTGTGTGTGTGCGTGTGTGTATGTGTGTGTAATATATTACATTTAACATAGGGACAGGTTGGGAAGCATGTGGTCCAAACTATTAGCAATAGGGGAGCAATGGGGGCGCGGGAGGAAGACTTTCCTTTGGCTCTGAACACTTATATACTCCTGCTTCATTTGATTTTTCAAAACTATTTTCCCACCATGTATTCATGTGTAAATTATAGAATGTGTAATTTTAAAATGACGTTTTTAAAAAGTCACATGATACAAAGTTTTGAAAGAGAAATTATCGTGATGAAGTCTGATGCACAGATTGGTAGGGGTGTCAATCCTCCTGGTGATTTCGTGTCCTCCAGAGGCTTCCAGCAGGCTGCGGTAGGCCTGGAGGAAGGTGGTGCTGAATGGCCCTGGGAGAAGGCGGGGAGCTACGGAAGGCACCTGGGCTGGGCTCAGTAGTCATTCTGGCCATTTGACTTCGGTTAGTGTCTTTCATCCCGGTGAGAGAGATACCATAAATACTGCATTCACAAGGGAGGAAAGCAGCTCTTGAAAGGGGACACAGGTCAGTGCTGGGATTCAGACCCCAGGGCGCAGGAGCTCTCCCATTTGCTTTCAATGGGAAAGGCAAGGGGAAGAGTAGGGAACTGGGTGTCCACTGCACAATCTTTGAAGTGCTCACCCCTGGGTGCAAAAGGCAGTAAAACCAGGAGGGAGAACTGACTTAGGAAGGATCAGCTTTAGTGGAAGAGGTGAGGGGACCAAGTAGATTCTGGTGTTAGATACACAAAGCTGTGTAGGAACCCATGTCCTCCTGTCTCTAATGGACACCCTTCGGGGGAGGTGGGCTGTGAGCACCACGAGGTCTCCTGGGAATGACTGCGGTAGAGGGAGAGGCTGGGGCCCGGCATCTACCCCTTGGTTTGTCTTCTTTCCCAGCCCCACTGACCTTATGCTGACCCTAGAAATAAGAACTGAAGCAGACATTTAGCTACAACGCTGAGCCTTGTGGGGGTCCAGCCGCTCCACCTGGGGTTGCAGGGGGGGGGATGCTGGGTGGAGTGGATTGGGCATGGTGGAGAGTCTGTCTCCTCCAGCAGGATGCGGATTGTAAAGGAACTCCTTGGATATGTCCCAGTGCGGGATTCTTTGTAGGGGCCTGGGAGGTCTGGGTGAACCGGTGGGTGGCACATGCCAGTGAAGTCTGCGTGACTTCTGCAGCCGAGGCCTGAGGGGATGGGTTTCATAGGGTGAAGAGTTCAGGGACCTCGGGGTGCAGGTTATGGCTGGGGCACGGTGGGGGCAGGGTGGAATTAACGTTAAGGGCTTGAAGCTGAGGGGGGCAGGCTGTGACTTCCTGGAGCATCTCAGGCTGAGTTCCTGGGTGTGGAAAAAAGTGAGTGGGGTTTGCTCTCTGTAACCCCAGAAGAAGGCAGATGACTCCTTTCCTGTCTGCTCCTGCATCTTTTTTAGCTTTCGAGTCTCTAAGTCTAGGGTCCCCAAATTGCAGAGCTGGAAGTCAGTGAACGCTGCTCCCCAGCAAGTCTCTGGGAACAGAGAGGGTAAATGACCAGCTTGCTAAGGCACAGGCAGCCAGGGGAGGCAGCAGGGCCGGGGCAGGGCAAAGCAACCGCACCTCCCTAATTAGCTCAGGGCTCAAGGATTTCCAAGGAAAGGCCAGGACACGGAGGTGCTGCCTGCGAAGGGAGGGACCAGTGAGAGTTGGAACAGCCTGGAACTGAAGAGGGCAAGGTCAATGCCCAGAGTCATCAAGGCCTGACTTCTTGGCGGGGCGGGGAGGACAGAGGACACGCGATAGACTTTCATGCACTCTGGTGGTTCAAAGCGTTTTCTTCATGAATAAGTCTTTATTTAGAAGGGTCCAGATTCTGCCCTGAAAATTGCCTTCTAAAATCTGCAGAACAAAGGCAGTAAACTCTCCACAATTTAGGTGGAATAACGGGTGATTATGAGAATCTTTTCCTGTGTCTTTCAAGACATCATCATTGAGCTGGTGGTACTTTTATAAGGTAGGGAGGCGTAAATGTAATTACTGCTTAACGTGCTTAAACTTGATAATGGAGTCACGTGCCAGTGGTTTGGGCCAGTTCGACTAGTAAAGAGGGCGAATAGCACCCAGGCGCTCTCGGGTTACCCTGCCTTTCCGCTCCCCGCTGTCTGGAAACCGCCCGGTGGGCACCTCGGGCCCGGAAGATTGCGGCTGGAGCGGCGCCGAGGCTGCTTCCCGGCGCTCCGGCCGCACAGGCGAGCCGGCCCCTGAGCCGGTGCCGCAGTCCCAGCGCCAGGGCGGGGACTCCAGTCCAAAGTTCACCTCCGGGCCTTCACAGTAGCCCGCCCGAGGCGCGAGCGGCGGCATCTCAGGGTCGCTGAAGGGCCGAGTTAGGAAAGGTGTGGACGGCCGGAGAGGAAAGGAGGGGTCGGCCTCGCCGGGGTCTCCCCGTACCGGGAGTTGCAAGAAAGGCGGGAGTGCGGGCTGGCTCGAGGTGGGCCGCTTGGGGGGTATGCGGTGGACACGCAGGGACATCGTCCTCCATCTGACTGGGGCTGGAGCCTCAGGCACAGAGAGGCTGCGTGACTCGTCCAAGGTCGCACAGCGAGCTGCTGGTGTGTGTGTGGGGGGGGGGGTGCGGTTCTGACCGCGTCTAGCAGCCTCCCAGGCCCCACTTCGCAGGCGGACGCCGCGCTGTGGCCGCGGGCAAGGAGCCTCTGGGGCCCCGGGCTCCAGGTGAGAGGAGGGCAGCGCCCCCGCCTGCCTCGAGCAGGGCTCTTCCGCGCTGCCGCGCCGGGTCACCTGGGCAGCCTGGCGTTGGCGTTCCAGGTCGTGGCGCGCGAGGGAGCGCACGGGGCACTGCGGCCCGGTTGGTAACTCCCGGAGCCCACTCGCCCGGGACCCGGAGCGCGGGTGCGCTCCTTGCCCTGCGGCCAGTACCCCAAACGGAGGTCCGCCGGCGTCGTTCATGAATGAGAGGCTCAGAGAGAGTAACCCAAATCACGCAGCGGCTGAACTACGGACCCGGGATTCGAACCCAGCGGTCCGGATTTTTGCGGCCTCCGGCCCGAGGCGGCTGTGTGTCCCTGGGCGAGTCCATTCCCTCCTCCCCGCCGTCGTGGCCGCGCATGCCCAGTCTTCGGCGGCGCCGGGAGGTGGCGGCGGGCGCCCCAGCTGCTTTGCATTGACGCCAGCACCCGCTGGAGGTCACCGCTGGGGGCTGGGCGCGGCGTGCTGCCGGCAAGACCCGGCCCGGAGCGCAGAGCGGGAGCCGCGCCGCCAGCAGCTCCCCCGAGACCGCAGCCGCTTCTGCGCTTCTCGACGGCGCGGCCCCAGACCCGGCCTGAGCCGGCGGCTCCGTCCCCACCCGGCGGGCTGTGGCCTCGCCGCCCCAACGGGCGCCCACCGACCCCCCACCCCTCAACGGCAGTAGCGTCTAGGCCGGCCTTCCCCGCCGCCGGCGCTCGGGCCAGGGGCGTTTCTTCGCGGGGCGGCGGCCCAGCAGGCGGAGCGGCGCGGGCTGCGGGCCCGGGGAGGCGGCTGCGGGCGCGGCGGGGAGCGCACCTCCCCCGGGGGTCGCGCCGCCCCGCGGCCAGGGCGGCGTCGCTCGCGCGGCGCGGACTTGCCTGCGCCCGGGTGGGGAGAGCGTAAATCTCCTCCCCCGAAATTCCCCGGAAGCGCGGCGCGGCCAGGCGAGCGCGGCGATGTGAGGGAGGCGGCCGGCGGCTCCCGCCTCAGGAAGGGCATGTTCGGAGGGGCGGCCGCGGCGCGCCGCCCGCCCCAGCGCCCCCTCCCCAGCGCCGCCGCCGCCGCCGCGCCCGCACCGCGATAAAAGGGGCGGCCGCACTTCCTGACGCGAGACCCGCGCTCGCCGCCGCCGCCGCCCGCCCGCCCAGGCGGCGATGACACGGCGCCCGCGGCGGCCCCGAGGCGCCGGGCGGGCCGTTTGCTGACCGGATCGCGGCTGCCCGCCAGCGTGTCCGCGCGCCGCCGCCAGCATGGGCTGCGCCCCGAGCATCCACATTTCCGAGGGCCGGGCGGTGTACCACGGCGGCAAGGAGGCCGAGGACGCGCCGGGAGCCGCCGCGCCGCCGCCGCCGCCCGCCGGCCCGAAGACCACCGCCTCGCCCGCGACCCGCGGCGCCGGCCTCGCGGAGCCCGAGCCTCGCGACGGCAGCGGCAGGAAGGTAAAGGGGTGCCGGGCGGGCGGCCGGGGCTCGGGGGCTTGCGGTCCGCGGCGAAACCCGGGCCGGGCCGGGTGGGGCTCCTTCGCGGGCGGCGCTGCCCTCTCGCCGGGTTTCGGGTGGCTTTGACGGGGCGCCGGCGCCCGCCTGCCGGGACAGCGGCCCGAGGGAAGCCTGAGCCGCGCGTCCTCCGACCCTCGTCGGTGGGGCTGCGAGCGGGACGCCCTGCGAGTCGCGGTGTCGGTTCCCGGGACCCATCCGACGGGGCCCGCGGCGCACTTGCCCGGGGGCGCTCGAGTCATTTCCCTCCCCAAGAGCAGGGAACCCCCAGGGTACTGTGGCGCGCCCCCGAAACGTTAGATCCGCGTGAACTTTGTTCTTTGGGTTCTCATGATGGAAAGGGAAGGGCGGCCAGCCCGGGGAAGCCGGGGCGCTGGATCCTACCACCCTGTTTTGTTCTCCCTCCGTCGGCTTTGCACGCGCATGCGGTCGCAGTTCCCCAGTTTCTCTGGGACTATTAAAACGTAATCTGAAGCCCCATCCGCTCTGCTCCATTGCACATGGACTTGAGGTTCACGGTTATTGCCATACGTGTTGTATTTAAAGCATATGTTATGAGAAAAGACCATCAGAACCGCGTTTTTTGAAGCATTCAGCAGAACAAAGTTAATTTTTTATTAAGTAGTTTGACCGGGAGGTTTTGTGGCTGCTTTTCACCGTTGGGTGTCTTGTCCAGCGCGCATCGCCTTGGCGTACGTTTTGTGAAAGTTTCCGGGCTTAAGCTTCGTTAAGATTTCCTAAAGGGAGGATAATGGTGGGGGGAGTAAAAGGGAAAGGTGTTCATTCAGGCACACAGCAACAACTTTCCAGTTCTCTGATTTGAAATTGTAGAGCTGGATTTCATGCGTTTATGTTTTGTTAAACTAGAAAAAAAAAAATTCTGGTGTGCGTGGCCTCGGATTGTTGATCATCCCTCTCGTTGCTGCTGCTTTTTTAAAAAGTCATTTGTAAAATTGTTTGGATTTTCTGGCTTACTGGGGTTTGCTAGACCTCCCAAGTTTGATACCATTTGTTCAGTTTCTGTGTTAAATTTCTAGCAGTCATCCATGACGCCTTTTCTTTAGGAAAGTGTAAAAGAGGGTAACCTAGATGAAGTGACTTCCCCACCCCTCAATACCCAGGTGAAAATCTAACTTTGTTGTGATGATCAGAAGTTGGATTCCTTTTGCGGATTCTTGAAGAAACCTGTGATGGTTTTAGACTGAATCCCAGCTGTTCCTAATGTCAGTGTAGTGCTTAGACATTAAGCCTATCTAATTGGCTTTAAAAAATCATCACACGGTGAAGTTGAATATGGAAGTGTTAACAGCTTTCAGGTTTTTGACCCATGTCTAATATTGGTTCTCTGTCACTAACTAATAATGAACTTTTAGGTCCCCAAATTAGCCGTTTTAGAAAGAGGCCCTGTGTCTTGCCTTTTTGTGGTGGTGTCCGTGTCCTAAAATTAACCTCCCTGTCTTATAAGCATCTCTGGTGCAGCAGCTTGTTCCTCTGCTATCCGTGGTGTTTGTAGAGCCCCTGAGTTTTTGAGAGTCTTACATATTCTGTCCCATTGTCAGCCCATTGTCTTGAGTTGGGGCACAGAAAAAGACATTCATTATTTACAGTCTTTAATGCATTGGCACACATATAGTAGCTGCTAAATAAACGTTTGCTGAATTTGGCTCTTTATTAACTGAAGGATGAAACTTTTCAGTCACTGGAATTTTACCCCATAAAACCTCCAATATAGGCTTTAAGGTAATATTAGTATTTCCAGAGGAGAAGTCAAATAACAACACCACAGCCACAGAAATGCTTGTTAGTTACATATTGTCCGTGTTGATACCGGATCTCAGTGACAGATACTTGTATGTGGGCATCTCCGGTAATAGGGCAGAGGTAAATTTCAGCATTTTTAAAGCTATTCTTTCTTTAAGGGAAGGAGTCGTTTCTTTTCATTTTTAATTTTTTTAGCTTTTTTTTTTAAAGATTTTATTTATTTATTTGACAGAGATCACAAGTAGGCAGAGAGGCAGGCAGAGAGAGAGAGAGGAGGAAGCAGGCTCCCTGCCGAGCAGAGAGCCCGATATGGGGCTCGATCCCAGGACCCTGGGATCATGACCTGAGCCGAAGGCAGAGGCTTTAACCCACTGATCCACCCAGGCGCCCCGCTTTTTTATTTTTTTAAAGATTTTATTATTTGAGAGAGAGAGAAAAGAGAGAAGGGTGATGGGTAGAGGGAGAAGCAGACCCCCTGCCAAATAGGGAGCCCCATGTGGGACTCAGTCCCGGGACCCCAGGATCATAACCTGAGCTGAAAGCAGGTGCTCAACCATCTGAGCCACCCAGGCGCCCTTTTTTTCTTCTTTTTAAAAATATTTTATTTTTAAGTAATCTGCACACCCAGTGTGGGGGCTCCAGCTTAAAATCTCCAGATCAGAGCTGCATGTTCCATCAAATGAGCCAGCCAGGCACCCTAAGGGAATGAATCTTTTAAAATTATCAAATACATTTCAGAAATCTAAAAATACGTGTTTAGAGACGATACATGTCCAGCGATTTAGCAAAATCAAATTATTTAATTAACTTGAATTCTGATATGCCAAGAATTGAATTGTATTCAATTCAGTTCAAGTATTGAATACTAATATACCAAGATCCAATTTTAGTTTATTAAGAATTATTTCTTCTTGGGGTGCCTGGGTGGCTCAGTCAGTTAAGCATCTGCCTTCGGCTTAGGTCATGATCCTAGAGTCCTGGGATGTAGCCCCACATGGGGCTCCTTGCTCAGCAGGGAGCCTGCTTCTCCCTCTTCTCCTGCCCCTCTCAAATAAATAAATGTTTAAAAAATTTTTAAAAATTTCTTCTTAAAAATACAATAAATCAGCATATCACTCAATGGATTTCAAAAAGAAATTCATTGGGCAAGTTTTTGTATTTTGATAGTACATATAGAAAACACTAGTTCATCAAAATGTTTGGGAGATTGATAATTGCATTTTCAGATTAATTAGTGTTTCCCCCTACACTGCAGTGTATCCCGTGTGTGTTCCTTGAAGCAACTTGTTGACTGTTATTAAGTATTAAATGAAAAAAGGAGCCATGTCCAAATAAGTTTGGGAAATACTGGCTCAGACTAAGTTTGGCAGATTTCTTTTATGCAGGATTTGTCAGAAAACTTAATTTCCTAAAATATACTGTGACTCTCCAAATGGTGTTTAGAGAGTGCAGCATTTCCCAGACTTGTTCGATTATGGAGCCTTTTTATAGAGTTATATCTTAGGCCGCATGTTAGGACATGATTCCTAACATGAGATACCAATATTCAAAGTACAAGAAATATACTTAACAGTAGAACACAATAAACATAATTTGCTTCTTAATGATTCCAAAGGTATTTCAGGATCTTGTAATACATTAGGCTGGGTCATCGTATATGAACTCGCTCGAGTGTTACTAAAAGTGTTCTGTTTATTCATTTCAGGAGTTATAGTCTGTGTGCTTACAGATAATGAATGCTGTGTTCAGTTCGAACACTTAGAGTTTTGTTTTTAATCAGCTTGAGCTTTAACTGTAACATTTCAATATTTTCTTGTCAGTCTGGATTTACTGGGTCTTCTCTTTCCTTAACTTGGACTTGAGTTGCCCTTGAAAGATTTGAGTGTGGAGGCAGGAGTGTCAGAGGAGAGCCTGTGGGCCCTCCCTCCTTTGTGCACACACCCAGTGCATTGCTGTGATCCCCCCCCATTTGTCATTAAATAGCTCTGTGAGGCTGTACTCAACTCTGTTTCATTCACTGCTGCATCCCCCCACCACATAGTGGGCCTTCCACAGACATCTGTCGAATTAGAGAATTGTGTGAGCCGGGCTGGAGAAGTGGAAAATCCACCCAGCCCATAGAAAGGAAGTAGAAACCAGTTTTAACTGGAGTGGAGGCTGGAGGGTTAGATCTGGTTTTGTGGAAATCTCTGGTTATTGCCCTTTCAGAGCATTTATACTAGGGAATAATAGAGTTCTAGCCTGGTGAGCAGAGTAGATTTTCCTCCAAAGACTGAAGGATTAATTAGTGCAGCTGGACGGGCAGGGCATAACAGGTGACAGGTGATAGCGGGCCACGCTCTGACCTCTCACTGAGGGCTCCCGGCCTGAGCGCTCAGAATCCACTCATGCCTACCCCATCCTGTCGCTCGCCTTTGCTTCTGCCATTCTCTTCTCCCAATTTTCTCTTATTTTTTACCTCCTTCCTTTTCTTCCCTTCCTCCTCAAAACTGGCCGAACTAACCAGCTTGATGTCCCCCAAAGTTTAGTGGTTTCTTGGTGTTTCTTAGCTATGAAATAAAATTTCTTGCTTGCTTTTAATGTACAGAGTGGGCCAATCAAATTTTTATATTTCCGTTAACTAAAGCAAATTTTTCTCTGACCTGTCTGATCCTCCCACCCCCCCAACTAGGGGTCATTGACTCTGGGTAGATTATGGAACTATTGAAAGTTTCCTTCTGAAAGTGTAGTTTACAAAATGAGACCTTTCTCTTCCTGAAATACGAGACTATAATTTACCTCTGTAGATCCTGCTTTTTCATTTTCTTAATTCTTATATAAAAAAAATACTTTGCATTTATATTCTGTATCATTTTAGTGCTTAATATCATTACCATCTTAACATGAAGTGTGGTTCTTCAGAGAGATGTTTTGAGTATCACAACTCTATCAGCACAGACGTGTGCTGGGCTAGCCCAGACCCTCCTTGCTGAAGTGATGGTTGGAATGAGGCCTGTGGTCCCTTCTGACACAAATGTTTCCTGTGAAATGGCTTATGACACTGGTTTTTTTCCCTTTCTACAGCTTGCCCACTTGGGGTGGGCTCTTTAATAGGGGAAGTTTCATGATGTGAGTCTACAGGGTGAGGCAGATGTCTCAGAATAACCTAAAATGCCTTAAAGCACAGAACTTTTTTTTTTTTA